TCTTTGCCCACTTATTTTGTATGTGCAGAGGCAAGAACAAAATCTCTACGTACAAAAAGGAAAAAACCTACTAAAGACAAGGAACAAACTTTCAAATAGTCATAACAACCTATACTTACTGAGCACTGATTACCCACCAGGCATTATTTTAAGTGTTTTGTGTGTGTGTGTGTGTGTTACCTCCTTTAATCTTCACAACAGTACCAGGAAAGCACTATTATAATCTCCACTTTACAGATAAGAATACTAAGACACAGAGGGGTTAAAAAACTCGCCCAAGTTTACCCAGGTCTTAAGGGTCGGGCCAGGATTTGAACACAGGCGGTCTGGGTCCAAAGCCTGTTCCCAACTACACTATTCCTGTACCTCGGGAAACAGCATTGTGGGCAACTGCTTTGTGCTGTAAAGGAAATTTAAGAGAATGGAAATTTACTTTCTATGCACCTTTTCTTGAAAGCTATTAGAGACAAGAAAACCAAGTAAAAGAAAGATATAAGCTCGGGAATCAGGGATTCTACATGGAAGAGCTGTTTTAAAAATCTCAGGATTAAAAAATAAAACAAAACCTCAGGATAGGAGCTGTGCATTGGGCCTAAAGAATGTAATAGGAATATCAAAGAAAGGATTCCTCTAATGTGCTTGACATTGGAAAAATAATTGCTGATCATTTGATGGATCATTAGGCAAAAATTAGCAGGAGGCATATAGCAAATATAGCAAACTTTTTTTTTTTAAGTTGGACTCTCACTCTGTCGTCCAGGCTGGAGTGCAGTGGCACGTTCATGGCCACCCCAGCGTCGACCCTCGACCCAATGGGTTCCAGTGATCCTTCCGCCTCAGCCTTCCAAGTAGCCAGAACTATAGGTGCATGCTACCATGCCAAGCTAATTTTGCCAAGTGGCCTGGGCTGGTCCCGAACCCATGGGCTTAGGCCATCCACTTGCCTCAGCCTCCCAAAGTGCTGGGATTACAGGCTGAGCTACCGAGCCTGGCCAGATAAAGCAAACTTTAAAGATGGGTGCAGTGGCTCACGCCTATAGTCCCAGCACATTGGGAGGCCGAGGTGAGAAGATTGCCTGAGCCCACAAGTTCGAGACCAACCTGGGCAACTTGGCAAGACCTCATCTCTACAATAAACCAAAAAGAAGCGGCTCGGCATGGTGACACGTGCCTGTAGTTCCAGCTGCTTGGAAGGCTGAGGCAGAAGGATCATCTGAGCCCAGCAATTCAAGGCTGCAATGGCTGTGAGCATGCCTTCACTCCAGCCTGGGCAACAGAGTGAGACTCCAACTCAAAAATAAATAAATAAAACAAACTTTAAAACAAGACATTTAACTATAAAGCAAATTACGTGTTAAAGTGAAGGAATAATAGTCATATGCCTTAGCACAGCAATTAACCCAATATATGTAACATATAATACAATATAATATGTTCATATATCATATAAATTATTATTCAAGAGATAATATAGTTGATATAATATATGTAATAATATAAACAGGACTTAAAATTTTTTGATATAACTATTATTGGTATGATAGAGGTGAAGTAAGAATATGGTGTTATGTGCCCCACCCACCACCCCCAGCAGTTTCCAGCTACTGCCAATCCCTCTCTTCTATAATATGGTAAATGTTTAGGGTTCGCTTATGAGTGAGAACATGTGGTGTTGAGTCCTTTGTCTCTGTGATAAATCACGGAGTATTAAAGACTTTAAATTCATCCAAGTTGCTATGAAGTCCATAGTTTTGTCCTTCTTTATGGCTGTGTAATATTCCATCATGTATATATACCACATTTTTTTAAATCCGGTCCAGTTTTCTTTCTTTCTTTTTTTTTTTTTTTTTTTTTGTAGAGTTGGAGTCTTACTCTTGTCACCCAGGCTGGAGTGCACACTCACAGCCACCCCCCTCGACCTGCTGGGGTTAGGCAAACCTTCTGCCTCAGTTTTCCAAGTAGCTGGAACTACAGGCGTACAACAACATACCCAACTAGTTTTTGTGACTTATTGTAGAGATGAGAATCTCACCAAGTTGCCCAGGCTGGTCTTGAACCCCCGGACTCAGGCAGTCCTCTCACCTCAGCCTCCCAAAGTGCTGGGATTACAGCTTGAGCCACCATACCTAGCCCCAGTTCAGTTTTGATGGGCAACATGGTTGGTTCCATGTTTTTGCTATTGTGAATAATGCTGTAGTATATGACCACTTGTATGCCTAGTCCTGAATTATACATCACATCTTTAAAATTAAAAAAGATGAAAAAAATTGTTGTAACTATTTCACAATATAAACATATTTTAAAACATTCTGTTGTACCTGTAGATATATACAATAATATTTGTTAAACGTTAACAAAAAAAAGAATATGGTGGAAAAGCTAAACCACCAACTTCTGTGATTTGGATAGTGTCTGAAAGGATTAACCAAGAAATAATAGTACATGTGTATTATTTATAGATATGACAGTAAATACTAGAAGTATCTAAAATAATTTGCGTGGATTATGACTACAAAGTGGTGAGGTAGGTTTAGGTGGGCAAGAGGGAGGGCTACTGTTTTTTTAATAAGCCTTTTTGTACCATTTGATTTTTTTCAACTATTAAAAACCTAAATAAACCAATACAGATGAAACTTTAAAGGTTGTCCCAAAAAACTACCCCTGAAAAGCGCTTATGAAATGTTTTTTTCAAATTACTGAGGAATTTAACCAAAAGCATTTTAATAATAAACTCTATAAAACACTTCTTGAAAAATTAAAGATTGATTTCCTATATAGATGTGGCTCTAGGGAGCCTAAAATTTCTTCCTCTTAAGAAACAATAAACAGTATGAAACTTTAAAAAATGTGTTTTGTCTAAGAAATTGAATCACATGCTTCCACCCTCTAATTGTATTCTTTTGGTTTTTCAAGATGCTAAAGAAGGGACCTTTATTTTAGCAGTTGGGTGGAGGCGTAACCAAGCCATCTGTACAGCGGATTCGGCTACAAGGAAAGGAGCCATTTTGACTAAAAAGGTTTGCTGTACTGATGCCACATGAGATGACTAGTTAGTTTTTATTGCTTCATTGTCTTTAAGAATATTCTATTTATATATGAACTCTAGATTCCCATCAAAGATTGCCCATATGTCATGTTTCCCTTAAATATTGATTTAAGGGAATATGGTTTTTCTTGACCCTTTGGGATCTGATGACCTCCTCAAATGTAGTATGCTAGCAAATCTATCTTTATCATGCAGTAAGCTGAAAAGAGGGAGAATTGCGAGCACTTGGTGCAATTTTAGGACACTGCATGAAGACAATCCTAAAACAATGGAATAAAAGAGGCGTTGCACAGTTTTTCTGAGAGAAATTGGTGGGCGCAGATGGAGACTTAAGAAGAAATAAAAGAAACCTAATGGAGTCTGGAGAACCCATACTGTGGGCTTTGAACTAGAGGTTGAAAATCCTGACTCTGAAAGGCCGGGGTCTAGGGAGGGAAATAATACAACCAGCCTAATAATTGAAGCAGTTATTTAAACAGCAGCAGTAAATACTGACTGGGGCATGATGGGGGTATGTACAAGGAGTCTTTTGAAAAAAGCACTGAGGTGAGTGGATTGCCTGAGCCCACGGGTTCGAGACCCGCCTGGGCAGGCAAGACCTCATCTCTACAATAAATCAAAAAAATTAGCCGGGTGTAGTAGCGCACGCCTGTAGTTCCTGCTACTTGGAAGGCTGAGGTGGAAGGATCACTGGAGCCCAGCAGGTCGAGGCTGCGGTGACCGGGAGCGGCCACCGCACTCCAGTCTGGGTGACAGAGTGAGACTCCAACTCAAAAAAAAAAAAAGAAAAAGAAAAAGAAAAAAGCAAGGCCGGGCTCAGTGACTCAGCTTGTAATCCCAGCACTTTGGGAAGCCAAGGCGAGTGTATTGCCTGAGCCCGCGGGTTCGAGACCAGCTCGGGAAACTTGGCAAGACATCATCTCTACAATAAATAAATAAAAAACATTAGCTGGGCATGGTAGTGCACACCTGTAGTTCCAGTTACTTGGAAGGCTGAGGTGGAAGGATTGCCAGAGCCCAGCAGGTCAGTACTGGGGTGGCTATGAGTTTGCTGCTGCACTCCAGCTTGGGCCACAGAGTGAGACTCCAACTCAAAAAAAGAAAAAGAAAAAAGCAATAGAGTCGTTTGGTGTCTTGGAGACTTGATAGCAGAAAGGAAGAGAAAGGGGTTTATACTGAAAATATTGTGGATGGAGGAATAAATTTGGTGTTAGGATATATAGGGAAGAGCTAGTAATGAATTGAAGATTACACCAAATTTGTTTTTTCTTGAGAAGTTGAGAAATATGGGTTCCTAGACAAAGGATTCTGAAAAAATATATATAACTCTGACTTCATCATGCTTGAATAAAGTTGGCATGAGACATTTGTATATTGTCTGATTTATTTCTGAACACTGGAAAACTTTTAACAAAGATTCACATGATATTAGCACATAATCTTTTTTACCCTTTCTCTAAGAATACATCTGAATTATTGGGAGTTTACATATTGCCGGGAATGGGGGGGGCACACAGGCTGTGTGTAAATCAGTTTGTAAATCCAAAATGGCATTACACCAATGGCCAGTGTGTATAATCTATGTAAAGCTTAGGTTTCACAAGAGAACTATAGATATTTATGACATTTGGTTCTGACTCATCTTGCTTCCCTTCAACTGGTATCCAAAGATATTTGCATTTTGGCTTTCTTCTTTTCATGACAGTGAAGTTAAAACAGAACTTGACTTCAAACTCAGCACACACTTGAGGGTAGATTGACGAACAACTTGACAGCTGAAACAAAATGACCGACATGACTCCCAGCGCCATCTGTTGGTGAACGGTGAAATTGACATGCTTTGGCTCTGGCTGATTTCGTTATAAGTCGAGGAGCTTGGAGCTTTTATAATGTCAAAGTCATCTACAACTCAGCTAGTCAGCAATGTTTTCCTTTCTCTTTCTCTATTGTGAAGGTATGGCGGGGCACCCTGGCCCGCATGCGGTACAAGAGAACCAAGGCAGCTCTGACAATAATCAGGTACTACCGGCGCTACAAAGTGAAATCATACATCCATGAGGTCGCTAGACGCTTCCACGGTGTCAAGACCATGAGAGACTATGGGAAGCATGTGAAGTGGCCAACCCCTCCTAAAGTCCTTCGCCGTTTTGAGGAGGCCCTACAGGGGATTTTTAATAGGTAAGAACTTGTTGCTATGTGCTTCACCCATTTATGGTGGCACGGTTAATACTAAATAAAGTCGCAAACCAGAGACCATGATATTGGCCCATCCTTTTGCTGTTATGACATTTACCTTTGCCTTATGTCTTCAGTTTTGTAGATTTGGCTTTTAAAGGACATCTGCTTACCTCTCAAAATAAGGGAACTGTCAATTTATTTTTCCTGCAGCAGCTGACAGCAATATGCCACAACCCCTGGATCCAAGCCATATTTAAGATAAGCCACTAGCATGCTGTCTCCACTTGCTTTTATTAGCTAAAAAAAATCACCACACAATTCAGACTAGAAAATCCGTTAATCCTTTCAAAGCAGTGGTTCTTGATCCTGCTGCACCTTAGAATCATGAGGAGTTTAGGGAACACACGGTTGCCCAGGTCCTGGGGGTAAGGCCCGGGCAGCTGTCTTTTTTAAAGTTTCCCATGTGATCTTAAAGTGCAGCCAAATGGGAAAACAACTGTTTTTAGGGCAAGCTATATTTTAAATAAATAAAAGCCCACATCAAATTTGGTACCTTTCCAGCTGGTTTTTATTTTTTTATAACCTGCCCTGAATCTGACTGTGCAAGTCCTTTCTCCTCATTTTTTTGAGCTTATTTATTGCCAGTATGCACCAGATATATTTAACTCTGTCTTAGATACAGCCATCTAGTCACATAAACTAAGCTGCTACCTCTCAAATGTAGTCATTTCATCACAGTACCTCTTAAAGAACACTTTGAACTAATTGATAAGCTGAATGTAAAAGAACTAATGTATAATTCTGTGCTAAATCAGATTTTCTCTTCTTTAGATTTTGCTCTATATATAATTGGTACAAAGTATCAAAAGATTAAAAAAATTCATGGAAAAACTTTAATATGTACCTCATTTGCTATTTAAAAATAAGAATGGTTACTCATAAAAGGAAAAAAGGCAAACAATACAGAATTATTGAAAGCAAAAGTACCTCAACCCTCAATTCTCAGATAAAATGCTATAAATATTAGTTTAATCTTGGCCTATTTTTTACACAGTCACATATTATTTGGGCATTTTTTTCCTCTTTTTTTACATAAGCAGGATTATATGTATGATTATATGACTTTACTTAAATATAAATATTAGGGACCTGACCATGACAATAAACATCTACATAATATTTTAAGGACTGCAGAAGATTGTTATTGATTTTTATTAGATTGCACTATGCCTATACCATCTTCTTTTTAGATTTTGAGGGCCTATTTGTGGCCTAGAAATGATTAATTTGTATAAAATTCAGTTTACTCCTGCAGCAAACATTTGAACATTTGCTGTGTTGCAGGTATTGACCTAGGTTCCAGAGATACAATCACAAACAAGAAAGATGCAAAAGACAGTCCCAGCCTTCCCAGGGCTTATAGTCAATGACATTTGAAAATAACTCGTCTGCTGTGTTTATTGTATGTATACACACACCCACACACCCAGAAACATGCGAGTGCACATATACACACTCTGAATGAATCTTGCCAGTTGTGTTCATCTAGTCTGGGGTTCTGAAAACATTTTCTGAAAGGACCAGGTATTAAATATTTTAAGCTTCACAAGCTACAGATGGTCTCTGTCACATATTCTTTGTTTTGCTTTGATTTTCTTAAGTATTTAAAAATATAAAAGCTATTCTTAACTTTTGGGCAGTATAAAAACAGACCATGGGCCAGCTTTGGCACAGGCTGTAGTTTGCCAACCCCTGATCTAGTCACTATCTGGAACTTTTTTTGTCTGTGGAATACAGAAAGAAATGTGTTAAAGAATTCCTCTGTGATTGTAGGGTTCTTGTGTTTGTTTTTCTAAAATCTCATTGTGCATCTAATCATGTTTAAGATCACTCCTGTTCCTCACCGTAATTCCTCTTAATTGAGCCTACTTTATGCCCAGCTTTGTCCCTTTTTCATGTCATTGAGGCTGGTGATTTTTATGGCTGCAGCTGTTGTCCGCTGCATGTATTTCTAGATGATGGTTTACTTTAGAAGGAGAAGCCTGAGTAGTTCTCTCGTAATTGTGTAGGTCAGGACTTAGATCCCCTAGCGTGCCTCTGTGAGCCTCTAGAATAAGTCAGATATGGACTTTGTCGTGGAGTACTGTGAGCGGTGACAAAAGAATCAGCTGACCTGTTTCCACATAGTCTGGAAACAGACTAGCCAACAGAACAAAGATGTCTCCCCACCAGTTATGAAGTTTGAAGCTCAAAGACTGATTGGGGCAGTTGCTTAGGAAGGAAGCCACTAAGCCTGCCTGATACTTTGCCTTTGACTGCCAATTGCTCCAAACCTGTCATTCTTCAGGCCTCTTCTGGAATGATCTTAGGACAATCTGTCTCATTGGAGTGTTGGTTGGCCTTAGAAAGTAGAGAAGGGGATTTTGCTGTTACATTGAGCCTTTACTTTTGTGTGGTTGTTGCTTTGGCAACCTATTATCTCTGACTCTCTCCCCCATGGCAGATGTCCTCACTATGGCCAGACATTCTATGTGCAGGAAACTGGCACAGCTCCCACCCTGAAATTCTTTACCTCCTGCCCTTGCTACCAGTCACTGCTGCTTTAGGCTTAAGAATTTTGTGCTTTGTTGAAAAATCCATCTATGCCTAAGGGTTCCTCTCCTTCCACTGAGTGGATTGCTCTGCACTGAGTCACTTCTCCATCAGCCGGATCCCATCTGCTCCATGTCTTCCAGAAAGTCTTCACACCTTCTACTTTATTGACATCATTCCCATTTTCTGGTGCTGTTGCAGATTTTTCCTTATTTTTATATTTTGTATTCTGTTATCTCAGTGGGAATTTTCCATTTTAGTTGAATCTTGTTCTATGGGAACATAGTTGGAGAACCACTGGCCTTAATTATTCATCTGATTAAAAGTTTAGTTTGCTTCCAACCCCCCTGGTTTAAGCTCCTGTGGCAGAAAAATAAGTTAGGGCTAGGATGCTACTAAGAGCCTAAAAGAATTTGTACCTGATCTTCCCAATCAGGAATAGGTTGTTTTCGGTTTATGCTTTCAGGTTCTTAGCTAAAAAATCTTAAAGTCATCCTTAAATCCTCTCTGGCCCCCACGTCTAATCCATCAACAAATCCTATAGGCTCTTCCTTCAGAACATATTCAGAGCCAACACTCTTTTCCATCTCCACCACCACCTCTCTGATCCAAACCACCTTCTTCTACCTTGTGTATGATGGAAATAGCCTCCTGACAGGTCTTCCTGTTCCCAGCCTACCGCAAGTACAGCAATCCTCTTAAAGCATGAATCAGGTGATGTCCCGTCTTTGTCCAAAACTTTCCAGTGGCTTCTCATGTCATTTCAGAGGCCATCTGAGAGTGGCTTTTTGGCTCTTATGGATCCTGGCCCTGGCTCTCTCTGTGACCTTTCCACCTATTACATTCCTCAGGCTTCTCTAACACACGGTATGAGCTCACATCCCAGAGCCTTTGCACTTGCTGTGTTCTCTTCTCTTTCTGGAATACTCTTGCTCAAATCTCCATGTGACCAGCTCCCTCACTTCTTGTAGGTCTCTGCTCTCCTATTGCTATCAGTGGCGCCTGCCCAGACCCCCTATATAAGCCACACCTAACTGCTCCTCATTCTTTCCCTCTGCTGTATTCCTCTTACTCCTTGCCTTGTCTTGTTTTCCTCCATAGTGCATATCACCATTATACATGCTGTATGTCTGCTCATATATTTATTGTCTGCCGCTCCTTTCTAGAATACAAGCACCTAGCAGAAAGGGCCCTTGTCTATTTTGCTTATTCCTGTGTCTCCACTGCCTAGAGCAGTACCAAGTTTAGTAGGTACCTAGAAAACATTAGTTGAATGTATGATGAATCCAAATTTTCTGTGCCCTAAATGTAAATGTTATGTGAACCCATGTATCACTAAGTTCTAGTTGCTTTTAAAACACACAAACAACAAAGCAAGTTTCAGAAAATAAACTGTCTACATAAAAATGATGTGAATTAAACAACTTTGCATATTTTGGGGACATTTTACTTTTTCTTTAAAGCATGCATGTACTTTGGTTTCATTTTACTTAATGGCAGCTCCAGTCATTCTTAAAATGAATGGGACTGCATTTCTAAAGTCTAATACATTTTGACTATTTACTTGTAGATGGAGAGCATCCCAGCTTATCAAGAGCATTCCTGCCTCAGACCTGCCCCAGGTCAGGGCAAAGGTTGCAGCCATGGAAATGTTGAAGGGCCAAAGGGCTGACCTCGGGCTGCAGAGGGCCTGGGAGGGCAACTATCTTGCTTCAGTAAGTCCAAACGAACAAAGTGGAATCTACTCTTGCCCATTCTATAAAGAGATAGAAGAATTTTTCTCTAAGAATTTGCAGAAAGAATTAAACACCTTCAGAAGCTCAATAATTTCTATGAAAGATACTAAATTGGAAGATTTTTATTGCTTCTAAATGTACAAAATTTGATGTTTCCCTCTTTTTAAAAGGGTTCTCTGTGTTGTATTCATGTTTTAGGTATACTCAATAACCTGGCCTTTGACCATTTAAACCTTCCCTTACATAATTCAGTGACTATTTTTAATTACTATCTTTATATTAATTATTCCCAGAGCTACATTACATCCTCTCTCCCATTCCCTATTTTAAAATTTTTATAGGATCTTTCAAGTTATAACAACCATTTAGTAGCTTACCATCTGGAGTGAAGAGATAAAGAGTACATGTGTGAAACCATTATAAATAGTTATAAACCAATATACTAAAACATTGCCTTTTCATCTAAAATGCTAAGCATACTCATTGTATCTTGTTTCCTTATTGTTTCAGAAGCCAGATACACCTCAGACCTCAGGCACTTTTGTCCCTGTTGCTAATGAACTGAAACGGAAGGACAAATACATGAACGTCCTCTTTTCCTGTCATGTTCGTAAGGTAAGGCAAGCTTGAAACCAATCATCTTAAAAAGAAAAGACTGATTCAGATGAAACTCACTTAAGTAGGCCTGCAATAACATATAACAGTAAATACGTAACTAGATACATCATCAGTGAGCTATACCTGCCTGTGCTAGCGCTTTGTTAAAATGACTAAGGTGACCACAACTTTAACATTGGACTATAAAGACTTACTAAGGGAAGTGAATATTTTTTTATAACCATTTCTTTTTAAAGCTGACTGTGGAGGGACCTCCTTGAGCTCAGGGATTTGTATGTTTCTGCATGTGTATCTTTCTTCTATAGATCTGCTTTCTACTTAATGGCCATTTAGTACTTTTTATACATGTATCATGTCTACAAATCAGTTTGGGGGGAGGAAGAACATTGTTTGGAAAAGAGGAGTAGGACATATTGAGATTTGGACGGTGGGGGAAAAAGTTACATGCTGTGAATGCATTTGCTTATCTGATGCAGGATATGTGGACTATTGTTTACTTGGAGATGACAGCAGGTAGGCAAGTGGGAATATGAAAGCTGGGAAATGGAAGGCAAGAGACATAGCTGGTTTTTTAAAACCCTAAAATACTTGCTTAGAAGAATATAGAGAAAAGAATTGCAACAATTACAAAAGAGCATTTTGTAGAATTATCCAAATAAATTTTAAAATATTAATGGAATGGCATATTTAAGAAAAACATTGCTTAGGATGACCAAAGAAGAGATAGTGACATATGACAGTATCCAAAGGACAAATTAAGAAAATTATCAAAGAATTACCTCATAACAAAGGAGCAGGTTTAGGTAATTTTGCAAGTACTTCATTTCAAATTTAAAAAAATACAGTTACAGTATTATTCAGATCAAAATAATGAATATGATTTTTAACTATAAATTTGGTATACTTTGAAATGTTGTTAATTAACTAGTGTTTACAAGGATTTAGGGAAACATTATTGATAGGAATATAAGATACAGTCCTTTTGAGTGAACAATTTGATAGTATCTATCAAAATTTAAAAGTCCCATGCTACTTAATCTAAAATTTCACAACTCATATTAACCCTAAAATATGTTTGCACAGGTATCCAAAGATAGAGATATATATAAGTTTATACACTGTAACAGTTAAAAAACTGGGGGAAAATGTAAATATGCATTAATACATTAATAGGTGATTGGATTAATAAATTGCATTAATAGTGTATAATGTCATTAAAATGAATGGAAAAAGAATATATATGGGGGAAAAAGGACAAAATATGTGAAACAATGTTTTTCAAGACAGTGGTCATCAAGCAAAGAAAGACAGTGATCCTGAAATATGAGAAAAATGAAGTGAGGCCTACAGGTTGCCAGTTTTCTGTCTAGAGAGATTTTCTAGTCCATGGCATGAGCAGAGGTTGGGGGAAACCAAGGCAGAGCTCAGTAGACTTCCTTATTGAAAAAACAAAGCTGAAAGCTAGTTGGGAGAGACCAAGCAACTACAGTTTGCAGAGCAGAGTATCAAAGAAGAGAGAGCTGCACAGAGAAAAAATTCCAGAGATCTTTAGAGGGTTCACTCTGACTATTCAGTTAAGTACTGATCAACACATGCATAAGAGAAAACAACTCAAGACCGGCAAAGACCAACCCAAAAGGATTAGAGGTAACAATGCCCAATACACACACTGGGTTACAAGTAGTGCCTGTTTTCACCAGCCACACTGGAAACACTCATGATTCATGGGGTATTGAGTAGAATACTGATAAGGGTCTTGCCTGAGTAGGGGGGATTAATTAGCCCTTTACTAAACACTGTTCTAACTCTACCCAATAAATCTTAAAAGCACAACCAGAGAGAATCGAACTGTTCCCAAGTAACCTAACAGCATCCAGAACAAAGCTCAAAGTGTTTATAGGGATACAAAAATATTCAGCACCCAGAAGGTAAAATTCACAATGCATTACATCCAATCAAAAGTTACCAGGCATACAAAACAACAGGAGACTACAACTCATAATGAGAAGAAAAATGAATCATTCATTCTGACCCAGAACTGACATAGATTCTACCATTAATAGACAAGGTCATTAAAATAATTATTATAATTGTATTCCATACCTTCAAAAAGCTAAAAGAGGCTGAGGCAGAAGGATTGCCAGAGCCCAGCAAGTTGAGGCTGTGGTGACCGGGAGCGACCACTGCACTTCAGTCTGGGCGACAGAGTGAGACTCCAACTCAAAAAAAAAAAAAGCTAAAAGAAAGATTGAATGTGTTAAATAAACACATGGAGGATTATAAAATGACCTGCATGAATTTATAGAGATCAAAAATACAATGTCTGAGATTTTAAAAGATATATTTAATGAGATTAACAGATTAGACTTTGTAAAAGAAAGATTAGTGAATTTGAAGATGTAACAATAAAACTACCCAGAATTAAACACAGAGAGGGTAAAAAAAACACTAAAACAAAGCATCAGGAAGCTGGCAAACTACTTCATGTGGCCTTATATAAGTACAGTTGGAGTCCCTGAGGGAGAGGAAGGGAGAAATAAAAAATATTTTTAAAAATAATGGCTGACACTACCCCAAAGTTGATGAAATGTTAAATACACAGATCCAAGAAGTTCAACAAATCCCAAGCACAGGAATCATGAAATAAATTGTACCAAGACACATTATGATCAAATACACAATTACTAGTAGTAAGAGAAAAAATACACAAAGGAACAAGATAAGGATACATCAGATTTCTTGTCAGAAACAATGCAAGTGAGAAGATAGTAGAGCAACATCTTTAAAGTTCTGGAAGAAAAAGTCAACCTGGAATTCTATACTCAATAAATATATCTTTCAAAAACCAAAGTGAAATAAAGGCTTTTTCAGAGCTACTTGAAGATATGCACTATAGGAAATGTGAATTCAGGCAGAAGGAAAATATTGCCACGTGAAAATGTGCACAGACACCAAAGAATGAAGAGCGAGGCAAGTGATAGCTCTATGGATAAATACATAACATTTCTTTTTTTCTTTTTTTTTTCTTTGAAAGCAGGATTTACTGAGAGAACAGAAAAACTCCCACAGTGGGAGGGGATCCGAGGGGGCTGCCCCATACCATTTCATATTTAAATCTATTTAAAAGATAATTAACTGTATACCAACTTTTATAGCAACATTATTCACAATAGCCAAAAGGTGGAAACAAATGTCAATTGATAAATGAATGAATGAGGAAAACGTATATCCATACAATGAATAAAAAGGAATGAAATGTAAGCTGCAACAGGGATGAACTCTGATGATACTATGCTAAGCAAAATAGCCAGACACAAAAGGACAAATATTATATGATTCCACTTATATGAGGTACATATGCGGTACACCCTATAATGATCAGATTCATAGAAATTGAAAGTAGAACAGTAGTTATCTGGTTGGGGAAAGTGAAGAGGGTGACTTATTGTTTCATGGGTACAGAGTTTCAATTTGGAATGATGGGAAAGTTCTGGAGATGGATAGTGGTGATGAATTAAAATGATAAATTGTTGCATATATTTTATCAGAATTTTTTAAATGAAAAAAAGGCAATTGACTACTCAAACAAAAACAATAATAATATAGGGCTTATAATATATAGAGAGGTAAAATTTATGGTAACTAGCACAAAGACTGGGATTAAATGAATACACTACTGTAAGGTTTTATACTGTACAGGAAGTGGTATAGTTATCAGTGGACTTTGATATGTTAAAAATGTATTCTATAAGGCAACTCCCTCGAGTCTCCTCCCTCTCTGGGAGCTTTTCTGTCCTCTCAATAAATTCTTTAAAAAAAAAATGTGTTCTATAAATTCTAGAGGAACCACTAAAATACCAAAACAAAGAGTTATAACTAGTAAGCCAGAAAAAGAAATAAAATAGAACCACTAAAAATCTTAATGTAAACGAAGGCAGAAAAATGTGGGGAAAAGGAGAACAAATGGGACAACAGAAAATTAATTGGAAAATGACAGATTGAAACCTAACCATATTGATAATCACATTAAATGCCAGTGGTCTAAACACCACAATTAAAAAGTAAAGATTATGGTGTCTCAGCATGTGCATGTGGGCACCAACCCAAAAGCTCTCTAAATCCCATAGTTTAGGGATTATGGAGATTTTATTACATAGGCATTGCTGATGAAATCATTGGCTATCAGTAATTAACTTAATCTCCAGCCCCTCTCCCCTCTGTGGAGGCTAAGGAATGGGGCTAAAGTTCCAACCTACTGATCATGCCTTGGTCTTTCTGGCAACCAGCCCCTGTCCTGGGACTAGGAGCCCCCAGTCATCAGTCATCTCAGTAGCATATTGTAGCTCTTGTGTCAGGAACCTGAGACCAAGACTAAATATTATATCAAAAGATAATCCTATTACCCCATCACTCATAAAAATCACAAGAGTTTTCGGAGTTCTGTGTCAGGAGCCTGGACATTGACCAAGTATATATGTCTTATTATATTACAGTCAGTGCTTGAACGTTATAAGGAAGAAGATTTCAACTCAAGGAAGCATAGGTTTTTTAACAAAATAGAGGGCATCTGGTTTTAAAGTTAAAATGAAATAAATGTCATCAAGGAAAGATTGCTGGCAGTATCTTGGAGTGGTTATGACACTCCAGAGTTTAGTTCTGAACTCTAAGATCCAGAAACTCTATTTTACAAGTGTACCTAGAGTTGATCAGACAATCAAGAAAAGACTTTTTGCTTACCAGATTCACACACTTACATTTAAAAAATAGTATAAGCCATAATGCCAGTTTGTAAATGTAACAAAGGAACACGTCATTTCAGTGAGTCCTCACATCCACTATGTAGTGTACCTCCTTGCTAGTACCAAAGTATCTGGGAATTCGAATTAGGAATCAGAACAAGTGATCAAAGAGTTGGGTGGTTTTGAGAATCAGATCATCTACTACAGAAAAAGCCTGCTATCTCTTTCCAGCAATGACAATTTATGTCTGACAGAGAACATGTCTCTCCCTGGGTCCTGCTGGATTAAAAACTGAAACATTCTTATTCATGTTCCTGTATTTCTGAGTTTAATGCAAAATACTCTTTCTTCACACTGTAACTTAAATAATATCTTCTTTAGAAACCTTTTTAACCCAAGGCTGTACCAAGTTAAACTTGATACCATTTCAGTAAAACCTTATTCTTTATGCTTTCATTCTTTTTGAAACAGCCACTTTCCATTAACCACATTTCTAAAATGTCCTTGAAGGTGGAAGACTTTTGTAAATAGTTACTCTCACTCATAATGCGTTTTCTCCTGGTCTAACTCTCCAGGAAAATTTTTATCTGTGGCTCCCTGTGGTACTAACTAAACTAATAAACAGACCACTTATAGTGTTAAGAGAACAGCAGGATGATGGGATTTTTTTCTTTGGTAGAATAACAGAAGAAACAAGCTCAGGTCTTATCTAATAGTGAGTTTATAATCTAGCTTTTTTATTACTGTTTGAATTCAAGTGGAAGAAAATAATGTTCCTATGCCATAATTATATTAAGTCCGGGATTTACATATGTATGTATAATTTTCTTCTTTTGCCCTTTTGATATAGCTACATTATGCAGCTTACTTACGGCTTTTAACTTTGTTACCTGATGTCCTTCCTACTCACTTGTTTCATGTTTTAAGGATAATTTGAATTACTAAAACAAAGTTAAGCTTTGTGATGTGCCCTCTTTAGAAATAACATTTTTTATATAAAAATGTAATCTCTAAACAGAACTTCAGTACAGTTGCTGCTTTGAGATTGTTTGTTGTTTTTTAGATTAACTCAATCATATATCCTTAAAAGGATATGGGGCCTACTTGTTTTGACTCTGGAACCTAGTGAAATTATGCAACAAGTTTTTTAATCATATTCTTTTGAGCTATACTCATATTTTTCAATATGATTACACAAAACATGAGGAACATGACTTTTACTTATTATTCAGTTTGTTTTTGTTTTTGGCAGAGTCTTGTTCTGTTACCCAGACTGGAGTGCAGTGGTGCCATCATTGCTCACTGCAGTCTCAAACTGCTGGGCTTAAGCTATCCTCTCGTTTCAGCCTCCTGAGTAGCTGGGATTACTAGCACAAACCACCACACCCAGCTACTATTCAGTATCTTTTTAGATAGTCTCTATTCTGCATATTCTAAGATTGATACAGATGACAATTAGAGTTCTCCAACATGGGTCTTACCAATGTTCTATTGAATACTAGTATGTATTTGTTGAAAGGGGATTTCATAATTAAATGTATTTCAGAAATACAAATTAAACATGCTCTTTACATGCAGAATTCTCAGAGCCTCTGATATATTCACTGGTTATGAATGTCCTAGTGGAGGCTGTGGTTTGCAATATTTCTCAACCCAACTTGTCTATTAGAACACTTTCTTTCACAAAGCTTCACATAAACCTGGTATTGCACAGAACAGCTTAGAAAAATGTTGATACAGAAGCTCTACACTCAGCCTGTTTCATAAGTGTCAATCTTCTGTTATGGCAAAAACTGTTGCTGTGTGAAGTTATTTACTAAGAGTAATAACTATTTCACCACATAGAATCTTTTGCTTTTAATTATAGATACCATTTTTGTCAAGTCGAAGGCTGAAAAATACTTTGGCTATAAAGAAAATAATTAGAGAGTTGTCTGATTTCTAATACTATGGGGCAAAAAAGAGAAGACTGAATAAAATATATCCTACCTGTAGCAATATGTCCTGTTATATCCTATCCTGCCTATCCTTATTTGGTTAGCTGAATATTTGGTTAGCTGAATATCCTACCAAAGCAAGCAATGTTTTCAGATTGATCCCTAACGTCTTTGTTTGCATCTTGAAAATAAGAACATGGAATAGGGGATGGGATATCATGACTATGCCTTCTATTCTAGTTGGGGAGGCCTTTTTAGATTTGTTTTATTTTGTTTGCACTCTTTTGCCTTCTAGTCCCTGAAAAACATGACATTGTAGTGGTTCAAACATTTTTAGTGCTAGATACTTTGATTAAAATGTTACCCAAGTCTAGCCAGGTATGGTGGCCTAAGCCTGTTATCTCAGCAACATGGGAGGCTAAGGCAAGAGGATCACTTGGACCCAGGAATTCAAGACTGCAGTGAGCTATAATTGAGCCACTGTACTACAGCCTGGTCAATAGAGTAAGACCATTTTCTCCTTTCTCTCTCTCTCTCTCTCTCTCTCTCTCTCTCTCTCTCTCTCTCTCTCTCTCTTTCTGTATGTATGTATGTATGTAGGTATAAACACACACACACACACACACACACACACACACACACACACGGAAGTGGGGGGGTTTGCCAAAAAAATGCATACACATTTTAAGAGATGTTACCTGTGTATTACTTTGCTGTAATTAGAAGTGTCTGGATGTTGATGGTAACAACTTTGGACACCTCTTTTATTTGTGGAAGTCAAATGTGACTTATATCCATCTTGTGTTATTGATATATATTGAGTATTACAATTTTAAAGCAGTTTTTCCTTTCTTAAAATGTGTATACTTTTTTTGGCACCATATCTATCTCCATCCCTAGTCTAAGTAGCTATTTATTTATAAAATGTCCTGTGCTTAATTCTCTCTCAGAAAAAGATTTACCTGCAAATGTGAACATTCTGTGATCTTTTGTCTAATAAAACAGCACTCTACAGAAACATTCCCATACACCCATACTTTCTCCCAAACTTATTATCTAGTTTCCTTTTCTTTATGTCATTCCTTTGTGTAATTGGGTTGTCTTTTAATTATTGTGTTGTATTAGTTCTTTATATATTCTAGATATGTTTCTTATCAGTGATTTACAAAAGTTTTCTCCCATTCTGTGGGTTTTTCATTTCACTTTCTTGATAATATCTGGGTTATGTGTTTTAAATCCTTTAATTCTTCTGTGGTTTTCCCTGTTAAATTGTAAAATTTTATTTGCCAAATTCCACAAATCTGGAAACTACTAGTCCTTTTACATCTTTATAGTTTCTAAAAGGTTGGCCGTACATGGTTCTCATCTATTAAAGAATTTGCCTCCACAGTAAGCCAACTTAATTTTATTCTTAATGAGGTACTATGGTTTATTGGTTTGTTCTCTTACAGGTAAATCGATTTAGTAAGGTGGAAGATCGAGCAATTTTTGTCACTGACCGTCACCTGTATAAAATGGATCCCACGAAACAGTACAAGGTGATGAAGACTATCCCTCTATATAATGTAAGTACTCTTTACTTTTCTCTGATTAAGAGTTTTTAATCTGGTGCTCATGGACCACTAGTGGGTCAATAGACTGATTTCTTGAATCTTTGGGACCTTAGGGAGCCCGTGAATTCCCGAAACATTATGCCAAATTTTGTGTTTTGTACAAATGTACAGTTATTTAGGAGGATCCAAAGTCACTTTAAAAAGTATAAAGACTGTGGATTCTAAGTGATCTTTACTACTAATCCTACTCACTGCTTAAATGTGCTGATATGTAATACATTTTCTTATTTATTTTCATGAAATTTGTTTTTATATGAAAATGGAATCAGGTAGAAAAACAGTAGGGATTGCTTTATGAAAATATTATTACTCTTTTAAACGTAAAATTTATGCTGCTTCCAGAATTTTTTTCGCCAATATATTTTATACACATTTAATTGCTGATTGTGTAACTGCTGATTTAAATCCACTCTGTTGCTCACTGTAACCATAGGGTTTTCAAATTTGGTAATCATTTTTAATTTGAAATATAAAATTCAATGAATATGTCGTTAAATTTCAATATAAGTTTGTTTTGTTTGTCTTTTTAATTGTCCTTAATGGAGTCTGCTTTGCACGTGACTGTTCATCCTGATTCTTCAGAAAGATCCCTCTGGATGCGGGATCTTTTCACGTGTCAGGTGATTTTTCTCTGTCTGCTAGTTCTTAAAGAGGGGAGTCTGTGTTTGTCTAGTACTGGGATCTATGCAGAGTATTATTTAGAGATTGTTTTAAATCCTTTGGTCTTTGCAAAAGAGAATTGGAAACATATTGTTTTGTAATTTTATTTTGTTAACCCAGGGGTCCTTTGAGGTTGTAAGGTACAAAGAAGGTGAACTTTTCATGGCTTTATTGAATGATTTTGAATGCCCTGATTATGGGGTTGATTATCCACCTCCACACCCACCCCCGACACACACACCCTTTTTCCTTTCAATAGAAAGGCCAACAGATTGCAGCTAAGAAAATTATATTCTAAGACACTTTTGATCCAATATAGCCTTCTTAGTAAAAACTTGTAATCTTATACGAAAGGAGACCCCAAAAATAACAGAATTATCTTTTGGAGGGTGAACCCCTTGTAGTACAAGCTTTCCTTGCTAGTTAAGTGTTCTAGGAACCCATTGGCATCAGTGTAACAACTAATGTTGTTGTAAAAAGCTGCATTCTGCTTCAATGAAATTTTTTTGGAGATCTTTTCAGTGTGTTTCCCCATTTCATGATGGGCAATTTACAAGCACACCTGCCCACACCATGCTGAGTGTTCAGCAGTTTTTGACCAAAAACAGCAATGACCCCCATGCCCCACCCTTTCTATTCACTTGATATCATTGACTTTTTTTGTTTCCCCAGAGGAAAAAAGTCCTCAAAGGGAAACGTTTTGCCGATGTAGAAGAGGTAAAACAAAACAACAAAACTGGCAGAAGCACTAAAAGGCATCAAAATTGACAAGTTCAAAAACTGTTTTGGGCAGTGGAAAAAGTGTCTTGATAGGTGTGTTGCATCATACGAAGAGTTCTTTGAAGTGACTGAAATTTAAACATGTAAGATTAAATACATAATTTTTTATAAACAAATTCTGGGCTTTTTGGTCCCCGCCTCGTATATCAATCAGTGTGTAAGCCTAATAACCCTGCAGTCTTGAAGTAGAAGATGAAGGAAGATGAGGGAAAAACTAATATTTTGTCAAAGTTTAATGAACCGTGGAACTAAACAAAAATAAGTTGTGTGCATTTTATTTCTTTTCCTTGCATTCTATTAAGGGAAGATTCATCGTGCACGTGACATAAATTCAATGAATAGTTAAATTAATTCAACTATTTGAATTGAAGTTATTTTCCCAAGCTGTCTTCCTTTTTCACATTGACTGGTTTGTATTTATAGTCACTGTTTCCCTTCATCATCATAATCATCATCGTTAATGTTAATAATATCATAAAAATTAAGTGTTTAACAATTGTAATAAGTGTAAAACAATGTCAATAGAATGGATACACACTATCACAGATGCTCTCAAACTCTGCCCTATTACCTTGGATTCCAGTACCATTTTGTGCACACCAACCTAATTTCCAGCAGCCAACGTCTTTGTCAAAAGGCTGCCTCCAGACTGCTAGAACCCAGTTTGCCCTCACTCACGGAGGCTTGGGAGTGCCAGCCACTCAATGTGTAATGGGTATGGGGGTATAAATACACCAGCTCCATCGCTCAATGGCCAAGAAATCCCAGCTGTCTCTCACTATTTCCTAGAGCCTCGCTGCAGGAGTAAGCTGTAGTTGCCCATAGTGACTGCCTTCCCTTCCCTGAACCACCTCCCCATTCCTTTATCAGGATCTGTGCGCCTCCCACATCATCTCTGAATACTTTCAGTTGTTGTCTCAGGGTCCCTTCTTCAAGGAAGAACTAACTTCAGAAGAGTGGCTACTTCTTCAGAGGGAACAAGTTGAATGGGATAGGGGACTTCCAACTGGATATATAATTGTTTTTCAGTCTGAAGTAAATGTGAGAAAACATTAAATCTGGATGATGGGGCATGAGTGTTATATAATTCTTTATACTTTTCTGTATGATTGAAATATTTTGTAATTAGAAATAAAGTCTAAGACTAAAAGCCTTTTTTAAAACATGATAATGCTAATAATAGTGTTGGAGAAGCTGGAAAGAGATGAAGGGAAGTGATTTCAATGTTAACCATGCTGAGTTCAAGGTTACAGAATACTTTCCATAGATAATTGGCAGGCTAATAGTATAGCGTGGGAAAGAATCAATCATTTAAGATTAAAATTTAAAAGTGAATCCACATATAGTTGGAGGCTGAAATTATGAGTCTAGCAGGAGAAGGGGGGTGGATTGTTCAAGAAATTCACAGTTAAATGATGGGAAAAGAGAATCATTAAAGCAAAGGAAATAAAAGGGGAATTTCTTTATGGTTCTCTATTTTCTCATCTCTCTTTTAATGTGCTAAATGAACTCTAATTTCCCTTCAGTTCCATACATTTTCAAATTATTCTAGAAATGACAAAAACTATGAGAACACCATGTTTCAAAATGAAATTGGAAAGTTTTCAGAAATAAGAATAGTCAGTAAGAGCATACAGGGTATATCTAAGGGTGCCCACACTTCTCTCATTCTCTACCTTTCATTCCTCCCTCTACATAAGCTCCTTTCCTGTTTTGGTTAGGTCTTTCTGGCTCCAAGGAACAGAGTGTGACCACATACTACCTTAAGTAATGTTTTGTTTTGCTTTTATAAGGATACACATGGTATTAAGGGAAAGGAATCTCACAGGAAAACAGGGAATGATACAATTGGGGTTTTATGGCAGCTCTAAGGGACCATGCTGTTCTTTAACCCCCTTCACAGTCTGAGTTTTGTATAGTCTTTCTGCCATTCCTTCAATCTCTCTTTTCCTTTGTCTGTCTTCCTACAATCACCTCTTTCTTGCCAGCATGGGTCAGCTCTAGGTTAAGGTCTGAATGAGCCAACTCAACAAACTATTAGTTTCACCTCGCAGTAACATGTTGATTGCAGTGTCTCAGATGAAGCCTTACCCTAGCAACCAATGCTCTGTGATCCAATCAGTATTTTAGTTCATGTCAAACACTTGCAGCCCGTTCATAGTCTTTCCTGACATTTTCTGGTATGATATGGATAATTCCTGCTATTCATTTTGGGCATTGTTAATCTGTTCCCTCTACTGTTTATGAATGTTATCCTTAGACCCAAACCACATTTGGACCTTGGACACAGATCATGTCGAGTATCAGGTGGGCCATTGGGTTTTCCCAGTGGAAAAGAGCAGCAGAAGAGAAGTGCTTCAGATAAGCCAGGTTCATCAGGCCTCCTGTGACCTTGAGTCTTCCCAGCTACCCCCACTCCAATTGCCAGAATCCCAGTCTGCCAAGCAGGCCCTCAGATTGTGCTCAGGAACCCCCAGCATGGGTGAGAAAACAGCTGATGTTGCAGTGTGACAATGCATCTCATCAGTTTCTGAACCTAGTCTTCACAAGTGCTTTCAGAAAGTACTCCCTCTGTTTCCTTAATTGCTTCCAATCAGACAGTATGAGACCAATATTCATTGGTTTCCTAATGCACTGTAAAAAGATGTTCAACCAATTCTACATCCTTACATTTCCTAGCACATTGAACTTCTATAAATCAACCGCAGGTAAGTGCCCCAACTGCTCGACTTTAATGGGCACATCAGCAATCCCCCACGGGTCACCAGTGATAAGTAAAATTCCACTTCCCAACATAACACTCTAATTTGCCACAACCATATGAAAAGAAAGAGAGCCAGGGACTGCAGTAATGGGAATCCTATCAGAAAGGACAACTTCCTGTTTGTGCATTCTCTTTGTCACAAAGTCAGATGCCCTTAGGAGACAGACAAGTCGGTACAGAAATGAATGAAGTGCATACCCCATTATGTGCAGCCACCACTCCATTCCAGACAGTCATGGCCATGCCTGAGTCCAGTATGCCAAAGCTTTGGATTTGCCTAGAAAAATCAAAAGTCCATATTTTATGTAAAATCTTTGAGTCGTTGTTATGAACTAACTTTAAAATGCCATGCAAGCCAAATGAAACATGTCTGTAGGCCATATTCAGCTCCGGCTACCAGTTTGCTCCTTTTACTAGAAGAAGAGCAACTGTCATTTGTTATTCTACATGAGCTAGTACCAGACTCATCGGTCTCCTCCGTGCCAAACTTTAAAAATTCTAAAGTCTATGCTATGTTATTCTAGACTTTATATAGCTGAGGTAGACACTGAGCATTTCTCACTTAAAAAGAGCTATAGTTGGGTGTAAGATTTAGAAGAATATATTTTCTACTTTAGTAAGCAAGGAAGGAAAGGAATAAAGGAAATCTTTGATATGCATGTGTTTCTTAACTTGAGAGCTTTCTGTCCCCTCAGTGTTTACTGCTAATTCTATCCCTTTGATTGTTATGAAAATTTTCAAACTTAAA